TCATTTGAATCTTACTGCTATTTACCTTCATGTGTCAATATCTTGTTTTCTTCCCCAAATTACAAGGACCTTTGGTGACGAGAAAAGAGCCTTTCAAGTGAAGCTTACTGGCCCAGCATGCTGCCTGCGCTGTGCAGGAAATAGGTTGATTTCACCTGTGGTTAATTTCTATCTTTCCCACATACCTGGCTCTTGTCTGCCCAACACTGATTAGTTCATTAAGACAGCATTTCTTCAGACCTAGATGCTGGCAGTGCAGAAGCAGAGACCTGGTCGTCGACCTCAGGGAGCTTAGTGGCAGACCAGCGACAATCAGAACATGCAGCAGGTGGCACTTTTGTGGGTGATGAGGCAGTACTGAAAGGAGGTGTTCTGGGGATGAGTAGGGGGGTTCAGGGAAGGCTTCCGGGAAATAGGAGTCCCTTTGGAGGATTAAGTAGTTGGTACCAGAGCGCTAAAGCCAGTGTGTGCGAGGGCGTGTTGCTGAGCCCAAGCATGGAGCACTTGGGTTCCAAGTCATTTGCTATTTTAGAAGCTTCTACTGAAAATTTCAACCTGTCCTCAAGGTCATCCACTAAGGTCAGGGCAGAAATGGGCTATGAAATTAGAGGCCCCTTCCCTTGGTAAGCGGGCTCTGAGAGCACTCGGATGCATCTCATGGTAACGGTGGCTTCATAAACATCAACCCTGATTGATGGGTGCAGGCTCTCTGCCTCTCCGTGTTTAGTCTGTTCGTGCTTTTAGTACCACTGTGGCCATGCTCCCTAATGGAAATGCATTTCTCTCTCTCACCATTACCCAGATATAGATGCTCTCAGATATGAAAGGTTTTTTACCTCAAGACTTTTGTCTTGTAAGACAACCCTAATTCAGGAAGGAAACGAGGAGTTGAGAAGAACCTACCACAAATGCTTTGTCTTGTAGTTTAGAAAGAGAGAGAGAGAGACGAGGGAGAGGGGGGAATTTAAAGAGCTCAATGTATGTACAGCGTGGATTTGTAGCTTCATTACCTTGACTCTGTTCAGTTCAAGGAACTCGCTTTCTCTTGTGAAAGGCTCTGAATAACCTGGAAAAATAAGCTTAATGTTTCCTTTTGCACCCTTTTTTCTTTTGCTTTAAGAAACTGTGATGGACAGCATAATAAAATCCTCCATGTATAATGATAGCTCCCTGGGTCTAGGACCCTAGTGATATTATCATATTAACTCCGATAAATCCATCGTGAGGTAGGAATTACCCCCACTATGCAGGTGTGGGATCTGAGCCTCAGAGAAGTAAAGTAGTGTGTCCAAGGCTACCCAGATGGTAAGTGGCTTCGCTGGGATCTGAAAGCAAGCACTTCTGTCTCAAAGTCAGGAGCTCTTCCTGACACCCAGTGTCTTCCAGACTGGACATACACATGTAGGTCAAAACATGTGACAAACAGTAACATCTCTCTTGTGGGAGGAACAGCTCCCGTCAGAGTTGTTATAGGTGAACTGACTGAAAGGAAAGAAGGTGAATCCTCATGGGAACACTTGGAAGTCTGATGCTAAGGTTCCTTTCAAATAATTGGGTTTAATAATAATCAACCACAAATAGGCAGGTTGTTTCCTGCTATAAAATCACGTTATGTCTGGCCAAACTGATCTGTCCATCTTTGGTTATTCCTGAATGTCAAACTGGAAAAGCAGTTCATGCTCAAAGTTCAAAGCCCAAATGCCAATGTGGGCATTTTTTTGATTTGCTGTGTGTCCATGGTTGGTACCACTGACCCTCTCTGAACTTCTCTTGAGTCACAGAGGCTCACTTTATGATGGGCGACAGGGAAGAGGGAGGCTTTTCAGAGAGGCTTTTGAATCGGTGTGGTTTTCTCGTCCATGGAAAGGTTAGGACAGGAGCAGAAAGATAGAGACGACATCTTGAAAAGGAAGGGAAAGTAGCTCTAAACTTCTGGAAGAACCTTGTCAGACAGCAGACACACAGGCAGCAATCTTGCTACTAAATCACAAAATAGGAGAAAAAAACATTTTGCATTTAGAAGCTGACATCCAGAAGGGGGCCTGGAACCTTCTATAAAGCCACCTACTAAGAACGTCCAGTCCTGGAACACTCCCCACATCCAAATGCCTCCGGCTCCCTACCCAGCAGTGTTTCCAAATGCCTCAGCTTATAGCCGATTTCTCAAAAGTAGACTCTAATTCACTTTGGTTTCATAATTAAATGAAAAGCAATTAAAACTTTTAGAAAAGTGGAAACAGGGCATGAAAAGATACTGAGAAACCAAAATAAAAGATGGATGTTCAGTCTGATGGAGCAGCAGAGCCTTGCTGGGGGAGGGGACATTATTGTAGGCACAGCAAGTATTTTATCTGCCATTGACAAATCCCAAATCCTCCCAGCTTCTGTTTCTCCCTACTTAAGACCTGGGTCACAGTATTTATTTACTTAAGTGATGGAGATGAGGGCAGGCTTAACGCTGGCCACCTGTCAGAATAACGGTGACCTGCCTCTTAAGGGGATTTCAGCAACTACCCCCTCCCGCCGCCTCCCCGCAACATCTTTATAAGACAAAAGGAGATTGGGAGAAAATGTAGAGTGAAAATTCACTACCTGATGAGTGCTGTGAAGTGTGTAAACCTGGCGATTCACAGACCTGTACCCCTGGGGATAAAAATATATTATATGTTTATAAAAAATTTTTAAAAATTTAAAAAAAAGGAAATAAATTCACTATATGTACTTAAAAAAAAAAAAAAGAAAAGAAAATTCACTACCTGAGCTTGAAGGAGAGGGGGACATGGAATGTAAAGACCCCAAGGAGTGAGAGATGCTGAGATCAACGGGTGTCACTGGAAGCAACTCTAGGGAGTACAGACCCGTCCTCTCCTGAGATTAGAAGGAATCTGCAAAATAGGATGCCCACACTGAAAAGTCAGGCCTCCTTATCTGCCTCTCACAAACGTCCTTGGGGTTCTTCATATTCTTATGAAAGAGGTTCATTATGGTTTCCAAGGAATGCCAACAAATACACTTTCTCAGAAATGATGTCATCGCTGCTCTTGAGGGTGAGGAGGCAACAGACAGGTCCTGCCTGGAGAATTTCAAGACAGCACGGGGGACCTTATGTAACAAACTGAGGCCAGGCAGTAATCCCTGTATCACAGCTTAACAGCCACTCCATCATCCTCAACCCCCTTTTCCAGCGATGGTAAGAACCCAGCCAAAGGCATCAGAACCGGTCCGAGCAGGCATCAGAGCCGGTCCCAGCAGGAGCCCGGACTTGGGCAGGCACGCTGGCCCCAGGCCCTGTGCTCACACCCCCTGCAGTGCGCTGTGGCTTGAGCAGGGAAGATGTGGTCCAATCTGAAGGATGTGCCAACAGCTCCCACAGGAGGGCTAAGACACGCCCCCAGGCCCATATCAGGTTTGCATCAGCTCTTCAAGGGTTTCAACTTTTCTCGTCCAGAGGCCAGGTGTTAGAAAGGGCTGGGGCTATTCATTCAGACAGACCTGGTTTTGAACCTTCCACTTTCCTAGGGAAATTTATTTAACTTTTGGAGCCTCGGTTTCCTATCTATAAAGTGGGGCTTCTGTGACCTCTCCCAGGGTTTTGTGAGGATTAGAAACAAAATATGAGACCTGCTCAGCAGAGTGCCTGGTGATGAAAGGATGGCAAGTGCCAATTTGTAAGAGCTATTTCAAATGTTCCTTTGTTAGAAGGCCCAGTGGAGAAAGCTTCAGGCCTTTGGACAGTCACCGTGGCCCTCCTGGAGGCTATATTCATACATATGGAATGATGAACCTGGACCACGAGCCAGTCCACCCCGCAGATTGAGCGGGCTGCGCTGCTTCCTGCCCCCTCACAATGGAAAGCAATTTTAGTTAAGTGCTTAGCTTAATTAGTTTGTGTCCAGACGTGCTGTCAAAAGCTGTACACGCACACTTGTCATCATGATCATCCCCCTGTCCCTGGAAAGCCTGCTTTTCCAGAAGTCTGAGCTTAGCTCCAGATGAAATTTCCACTCAGTCACTCTCACTCTCACTCCAGCTCCCTAGGAAGCGCCCTGAAGTCAACACCTTCTTCTATTGATGTGGCAGATCAGAGGAGGGTTGTTAAGTTCTCACAGTACCTCTTTTGGCCCATCATGGCCACTGTGGTCATGGACCACCTCTGCTTGGGAAGGTCAAGTGTCCGCTCTGTGAGCTCAGACCAAAGTGTCTACCACACACGCTGGGTGGCAGCCAAGACACTTAATCAATATTAACAATTAAGATGGCTACACACGTGAGTCTGAGCTGGAATTCTGGCCTAAAACATTCTCTCTACCCAGCGGGTACTGAAATCAAGGATTCTTTTCATCAGTTACACCAAAGAGTCCACAACAGAAGGAGGAAAGGAAGATCTGTCAGAATACGATCCAATGGGCACTGGAATGTAGACTTTTGGGCTACACTGCAGTTTTGAGATCATGCTGTTTTTCTTCACTGGCTGTTCCAGAGAAAATACAGAAAATATTATTTAGTTTACCACACCCCATTGTGCCTGTTGACTCCTGGCTGCCATAACATTTTAGTGATGGACATAAATAAAGAACAGCGAGGGGGCAATGGTAACAGCTCCTGGGGACAAATGAGACCGAGTAGTGGTTACTCTCTTACCCACTGGTTCACCCTCTCTCCAGCACGCACACAACCACAAAACCATCCCTAGCCTCCACTGCATGTGACCCTTCCTACAGAAATCACAATGGTCAAGACGAAATAGTCACCCTCGGAAGCCTACAGCAAGATAGATGACAGTATGATGGAAGGAAAGAGGAGACTGAGTGCCTTATCGATCTACCTGCTGGCCTGTGAATGGTGGGTAATAAAAATTTATTGAAAATCAGAAAAAAAAAATCACTTATTCTAATTCTTCTGGAAGGCAGTACTAATGTTGCATATGAATAAATCCCCCCACCCCTTCCCCAGGACTAAACCACCATCCTCCTACCAGCCAACCCTCCAAACAGGACAGATTTAAAAATCTTGCAATTTTATTTGCATATAAAGGCCGCTAGATATAGAATATCACAATAAATTTAAAAGAAACAACTGCTTTCCTAAATTTCATTAACAAGATAACATAAAATAGAATAAAGCTCAACAGCATTTACAATGGGAAAACAGAAATGACTATTAGCGACAATATTTTGTGCTAGCGAAGATTGCATCGACACACAGTGCAAAATGGGGGGAGGGAGAGGAAGTAAGAAGACAATGCAGGGTATTTAAATATAAAGGACGACTAAGCCTTATTTTAGTTACCTTCCATTGCATCCACGTAAGTCTGTACATGCCTGTAACTGTACCTAGACTTAACTCAAGCTCTTTGAGACCTTGAGCTCTGAGACAATGTGTCAGCCCCTTCGGACTTCTGATGCCCTGCTATAAAGCATCCCTTTGCAGTTGTACTGTCCTTGGCAATATTAAACTCCTAACTTAGTCATAATACACAAAAAATATTTATATATATAAACCCATACTGAAAAGGAATCTGCACGCTCAATTGTTTTTTTAACTGTATGAAATACCTGCTCTTGACAGATTCCATTTCCATATTTTTAAAGCTAAAATAATTTAAAAGAAACAAACAAACAATGAGATCTTGTATAACCACAGTACAGATCTCACTAGCTAAGCCATCCTTTAAACGAGGGCCGTTTTCTTCCCTGGACGCAGCTTTCTTTATAGTGAGAGTGTGAAGAGAAGTCTTTTCCACGCCTACTTTTGCTGAAAAGATTGCTATAAATCCAGGCCATGTCTGCAAAAAAGAAGGGTTACCAAGAAAACAACAACAACAAAACATCAAAAAATAAAACACTTCAAACAATACTCTTAAACAGTTGTGCAAATCTGGGTGGTTTTTAAAACACTACCTACCTGTTTTTCTTTCTTTTTTTTTTTTTCCTTTTTCTTCCAGCTTAAAGCATATTAAAATAAGACTTTCATCACCTTTTTAAAAAGAAAGCTTGGCTGTCCTTTGGCGAATACTAACAATTTACAATGGCGTGGCCTTTGAGAAAACGGAAGTCATTTTATAAATTCACAATGCTCCTTTCATTTCGAATGGATGCCCCATTTAAAAAAAATAATAATAAAATAAAGGAGAAGCACAACCTCTAGCGTCATTTGTGTTCCAGTAATTTACAAAAAGAACTCACAGGATTTGGAAATAAACAAGTAAGAGAATGTAAGTTTATAATTAGAAAAATGGCAGTTTATAGACCTTCCCTCACATTCCAATTGGGCTTTCGGAGCTTCAGGAACCCTGTGGGTTTGGAAGGTCAAATATAATTGGAGGGTTGGTCGGTTGAAAGCTGACTGTACACGTTGAGGCATTGATGTACGTTGTATAACCGTCGGTCATAATGCCGTAACCTGTGGAGACAGAGTGTCATGCTTTACTGTAATAGATACAAATGAGAGTGACTCAGTGGTGAGCTGTCACGCAAGGAAAACTAAAAAAATCTTTGCCAGTGGGCAGTGAGATGAGATTCAATGAAGCCTCCCCAGATGATAACAGCTTTCGGAAGCTGCCTTCCAATTACATTCTGTTTTCTTTAAAGGGAGAATCCTCACTTCAAAGAAAAGTGATTCTTTTTTTCTCTACTTAAGCATTAGATTTGTCAGGGAAAGACTGTGATTTCTTTCGTAGTGTGAATAAAGAAAAAAAACATTTTCCCCCTCTTTTTAAAATACGATTTTCATTTCAAAGCCCTGCATTAATTATTGAGTTCTAGGAACAGAAAGAGTAAAGGGATTCCACAGGGTACACACCTCCAAACCCCACACGGGCTTCGGGACAGGTGTGGAGGGAAAGGGCGCTGCATTGGGATCTAGGAGGGGTAGGTGTGCAGCTTCCTTATCTAGGAGATAATCTCTAAACTGCCTCAGTGGAAGTTAACAATACCAGAACTTATCTCCCTCGAATTGTGTGGCTTTGGTACTGAGTTCCGTTTCATTCAAATAAGCCAAGTAATCGCTTTTCCCAGTGATTTGCAGAGACATCACCAGAGGTTCAAGCAAGAATGCTTCCTGCATGCAGTACATAAATCTCTCATGACCTATTGGAAGAAAACTAAGAAAGTTTCTCTGGGTCTTCGGTATGTAGCTCCCTTTTATAATTTTTAATTTGTTGACATTTTCAGCATGTTTGCAAGTTTGCACATTTCCCTGGACACCTTATACCTACCTTAGAGCCTCTAGAATTAAGTTTGTAATTCTGTGTTGGTATCAGGTTCTTGTGGAATAGAAAAATATGCATGTGAGAAATTAAATTACCAGGACTTACAGAAATAGCTGAGGTTTTTTCCTTTCCTTTCCTTTTTTCTTTTTTTTCTTTCTTTCTATTTGCTAAAATGTGTCCAAGTAAGCCTGTGGAGAGCTTAATGAGGGTCAATGGAAAAATCTCTTAAGAAAAGAAAAGAGGCATTTAAAATGTGCACTGTTTAGTTCTGGGGTCATAAAGTCTTGTTATCTCTCTCCATCAAGAGGTTGGTATTTGCCCTCTCTCTGCCCTCTTCAGCTGTCTTAAGTGAATAAAAGTGAGACAAGTTTATTTGAATATGATCTCCTCCCTTTTAAGCAAGTTTATTATTTTGGGACTTCAGTGGAATTCCCCAATTGTCTGGCTAGCTTAAAGCTAATTAATGATTAAAAAAAAAAAAAAAGGATGACATACAAACTCATAGGCATGCTGCAGGAATTCAAACCTGATAACTGTCCCCCAGAAATGCCGGTTAGACACGCGCTCCCATCCCCTGCCCCCCCCCCCCACGGATCCTGAACCACGCCTTAGAGAAGTCCCCCCTTCTCTGGGACTAGGGCTCAAAGTCAGGGTAGGACAATGCCCACTCTTGGGAAGTTGCACCCCAGCATTCCGTGCGCTCGGCTGGTGCCTGCCCTTGGATTTTCTCAGGCATTAGTAGGATGATTTTCAATACATAATGCTTTTAAATCCACGCCTAACCCAGAAGCCAATGGATTTGTGGGCTTTGAACAGCACACTTTGTTTTCTCATTTCATCAGACACAGAGGCCTCAGCAACTCACCTGCAGATTCATAAATGACTGCGGAGGACAAGCTGTAAGGGGGAGCGGGAGAAAATACAGCAGCTGTCTACTATGTAAACGCACCCACGGCACGAAAAGCTCCGGAACTGGGAGAGACCGGTAGGGCCAGGAAATAGAAGCCCTGCTGAAGGACATTTTTGTACATGTCTAAAAACCCTCACTTAAAAAAGGAAGGAAAGACAAAACCTAGAACCGTCAAGTTTCCTGGGAGGCTTTCGGGTTCTGTGAACTTGACTCCAGCTTACTGTGAAAGGCAGAACTAGAGGCAACTGGACCAGCTCCCATTAAGGCGAAATTAAATTATTCTGTTTAGCCTCAGCCTGACCCTAAGAGTGCTAATGATTTCTGAGAAGTCTGAAAGGGTTTTCTGAGGTTTGTAAGGAAACAACTACCTGCAAATGTGCAGGTTCCTGCCGCTTCTGTTCTAGAACCTTCACTGCATGTCTCAAGTTATCTGTTTCAGAGAATGCCTTTTCTTCCTGGGTCTTCACATGTGTTCCATATGAAACACAGTATTTACAGGTAGAAAGAGGCCACGGAAGCTATTTTGTCTAATATCTAGCCCATTTCTTCTATCTTAAAGAAAAAAAAATATGTCCTTTTTGACCTCAAGTCTGCTCTCCATTGGTGGTTAGTAAACATTCCTCCCGGAAGCTCTGAGATTCCAGAAGTTGCCTGGGGGAGTGCTGGGCTTTCCATAGGATGAACCAAACCTAGTTCTTTCTCTCCACTTTCTCTCTGCTTCAGAGAGAGCAGCTCCACATAAAACACCCATCAGGGCACCTGGGTGGCTCAGTGGGTTAAAGCCTCTGCTTTCGGCTCGGGTCATGATCTCAGGGTCCTGGGATCGAGCTCCACATCGGGCTCTCTGCTCAGCGGGGAGCCTGCTTCTCCCTCTCTCTCTGCCTGCTTCTCTGCCTACTTGTGATCTCTGTCAAATAAATAAATAAAATCTTTAAAAAAAAAACAAACACGCATCAGTGTCAAAAGCAGGTGCTTCTCCTTAAAAAAGGGTTCTGTCCCTGGTAAAAAGTTTGACAACCACTGCTCCAGTCATTCCCAGGGTAGCCGAGGTCCCCACTCTGGAATGAGTTCACGGATGATGACACAGCATCTTGTGAATGCCTTTCTTCTGATCTTACCTTCATGGATGCCACCAAAAACGTGGAGCTTGGGCCGGACTCGCCTCTGGACGGTGTTTAAAAGCTCCACGCAGCCCACTCTTTGAAGCTCCTTTGGAACCCAGTCTCGAAAACCTATGGGCAAAATGCAATCAATACTCTTAATTTTCCTTCTTCAGGTAAGGTTTCATTTAGACTTTCAGGAAGCCATAACTCACAGAAGGTTTATTACATTATCTGTAATCCTAGCCTCTCCATTAAAGCTCACAATGGCTTTTAAGGAACTTTTCACTTGTCACTTTGTCTTCTTTAGGTTCTTGAAACTTTTTTTTTTTGTTTCCATTTTTTTCTTTCTGTTAATTAACATTTTTTTTTTTTTCTGTAAGGGATTTGATTTATGCTTTGTTTCAAATTTTCATGGGCCTAATGACATGTATTCCCGGCAGTTCCCGCAATATCTCTTTCTTTTACAATTCAGTTACTTTTTCCTTTATTATATCTTTCTTATAGCAGTTTACCTCTAAGATGGCTCAAAGAAGACAGGCTAGGAAGGGCTGTCCATAAACTGGCCACAAGATACCCAGCCCTCCTTAGGTACATCAGCTCTTAACCCTTGGTGGTTCCTGCTGACCAAATCTTGGAAATGTCCAGCTCTTCCTCAAGTCTCCTCTCTAACAATAGGCAACAACGTGACCTCATGGCGGCATCCCGTAAGCTGGGGCTAATTGACTACCTTTAAAGTAAAAGCCGCTTACTTCCATGCTTAATGCAGAAAATCCATAAAAACGGACATCAATTATGGCACAAGTCAGGTATCTGAATGATGATGGTCAAAATGGAACCCATACGCCTCAGCAGGATGGGTATAAAGAAGGCAGGTGGGACTAACAGCTAAATCGTCATCTGTGAGAATCCAGACCATAGCTTCATTAGGGGATTTCTGCTATTTAGAAATGATCAGGGAGAAATGGACAGATAAGCTTGTTCCACTTTGCTTGAAGAAACTGTAGAAATGAAAATATAGCATCTCTGTACAAATAGGTTACGTGGAGGTTGGGAAATGGCTGGAGAGGCTGGAAAGAACATCAGATGAAAATGGGGGCCCCATAAAACTTCAACCAGGGGTTTTAAAACTGTTAATCAGAGAAAAAAAAATCCTTAATCCACAGTGACTGGCATATTCTGGCATATTCCCTCATGGATGTCTTTTTCTCGAAGGGGGAAAATATCTAATTCATATATAATCAACCTGAGAAGGCAGCCTGTTTCTACCATAATAGTAAAGTCTCACAGAGCTTTACTCATAGAGTAAAGTCTCTTTCCTCCTCAGTGGGGCCCATCTTCATCTCCCACCCCAATCCGGCATTTCCACAAGAATCCCAATAATGTACTGATTAAGGTTCAACCTCACCTTGTGAAAACCTTGCCTGACCTTTTATTTTGGAACTCCTTGAGGAAGAACTCACTTTGCCATATGCATAGCCCTCTCCAGATTACTCCATGTTTGCTACAGAGAGAGGGATGGTAAGCTCCCTGTGGAAAGTTCCTGGGATGTCTGAATTCTTTGGAGGCTAGAATTCAGACTTATTACTACTGCCATTGGCTTCTGTACCAAAATTAATGGTTTGATGAACCTGTCAATCAATTGTTCTGTCCAAAGTTGTGTTCCAGATAACACTTGAGTCATGTGGATGTTTCTGTGGTGAGAATATCCCAGTCTTATTTACAATACACAACCTTAGGGGAATCATGTCTGTACCCAAGGAGGCTGCTCAGTAAAAGGATCAAGTTGGCTGGGATGCCCTCTCTGTAGGTCTTGATGGGTAACTCATGCTGATCAGATATTTAGCTAGCCACCATTCAGGAGTTAGTCTCTAATGACTGCAAAATAGGGAAATTAATGAATTATGGATGATACTTGTTGTTGGTAAGTATAATCTTTTAAAACATGGGATGGGATGGGATGGGATGGGATGAAATAGGGAAAAAAGCATGGGGATGGTAATTCTTAAATATTGAAAAAGTCAGGAAGTGCTAGATCTTGTGCAAATCTGGACAATCTCCCTATCTGCAACAGAGCTGGCTTCTCTTCTCTTGCTTCTCCCTATCATTAAAATGTGCCACCATAACTCACACCTGGGTCCTCCCTTTGACTATTTCTATGTGAAACACAGAGCACTCCCCTGGTAAGAGAAGGAAAGCAGCCCTACATGGGTTGGAGGAAACAATACTTACAAAGATTAAATTCACAGTAGGGGACATGTGTTAGATTTTCTTATTTTTCAGGTTGACAGAGGAGGGAAGTGATATGGACAACAACCGAAGCCAAAGGGAAAAATTGTGAAAATAATTGTATTTTCTTCCTTTTTCCAAACCAAACCTTGCTAGTACTATACATGTGGACATTTATTAAGAATGCACATTTCAGGGGCGCCTGGGTGGCTCAGTGGGTTAAGCCGCTGCCTTCGGCTCAGGTCATGATCTCGGGGTCCTGGGATCGAGCCCCGCATCGGGCTCTCTGCTCGGCGGGGAGCCTGCTTCCTCCTCTCTCTCTGCCTGCCTCTCTGCCTGCTTGTGATCTCTCTCTGTCAAATAAATAAATAAATAAAATCTTTAAAAAAAAAAAAAAAAGAATGCACATTTCATGTTACGTGTTTTTTTACCACAATCAAAGAAAAAGAAAACTCTCCTACTGAAAATGAAGTATCTTAATGTCTTGAGGACACCTCTGTTGGACAGGAAGGGTCCTGGCATAATAGATACCAGACAGATGGGGACCAAGGTGATAGGCACGTTTGAAAAATGTTCTGTGGCTAAGCCAAAGAGATCACAAGTTCTTGAATAATTAAAAGATAATCATATAAGTCAAAGAATCATCTTCTAGGCCATAATCTTCATAACTAAAGGTAGCTCTGAAGCATGCTGGTGATCTAAACCGGATGTGGGTTCAAGGATTCTGTAGGATGACTGTCTCTAAGTAACTTTCAACATAAGTCCTTATTTAACACCGTAGGTTTAAAAAAAAAAAGAAAAGAAAGAAGAATTCTTTGCTCATATAATCAGCTCAAGCGTTAAACTTTTAAAGATTTCCTAGGTCTATTATATGGAAAAGGAAAATGAGCTACTTTATCTTATCTCTAGGAGAAAGAGAGGGACAGAGACAGAGAGACAGAGAGAGAAAAGGGAGGCAGAGGGAGAGGGAGAGAGAATTTCAAGCAGACTCCACGCTGAGCACAGAGCCCAACGTGAGGCTCGATCCCACTACCGGAGCCGAAACCAAGAGCCAAATGCTTAACTAACTGTGCCACCCAGGCACCCCAAATGAGCTACTTTAAACAAAAGTTTCCATCATTTCATTCCCTCACAAGCCCTGTGACTGGGAGGTCTGCGTCTGCCTTCCATTGCCCACCCCACCTCCCTCACTCCTAAGTGAGTACAGTTCCTAAAATAAACGATTGAGCTCAAAAGGCTGTGGTGCTCCACACTCATTTGATTTTCCCTGACTCAACGAAATAAAAAAATTTAATTTCAAGAACACCTGTAAGCCCAGCAGAACTGCTGAGTTTAATTATCATACTGGTTTCTTTTAAAGACGTTGACTTCTCTTTTTGTGTTCGCTTTTTATTTTTTGAAGGAAAAGGATTGTATCCCTGAAGCATTATTTATTATGCTTTATTATTATGAAAAAAGGCATCCCTTATGACAAAAGGACAACCTTTGCTTCACTTACCTAGAGGAGGTCCGTGTGTCATGAGTATGTCGATGCCCTCAGGGATGAGGTTCCACTTGTCCAGCAGAGACTGACCTCTGGGCAGGTTAAAGCCCCATCCATTAAACCACGGGGTCCTTTGGGGGAGATAATGCACACGGTATCAGGCCAGCAGAGCCGCGTTTCCGCTCGATAATATTTCTCTCCCGCACATTCCCCCCACGGTGTGCATTGCTCTCTTTTCTCTTTTTGAGGGCTGGCCCTGGCAGCGGGATGCTTTTTTGTTGACTGCTTCAAAACCAAGGCATTTGAAAGCAAGTGTGGAGCCGAATTGTTCAACCAGAGAGGGGCACACGAGTCTCTACAGTGGAGACTCTCCCAGCAGACCTCTATCAAAATTTTAACAATGCTTTGTCTTCTCCCCCAAATCTTCATGCTTCCTAAGATGCCTAGTTCCGATCCGAAGCATTTCCACCCTTCCTGCAGTATCTCAGAGCTCAGAAATTCTGATCCGCCCCGATCACCATAACACTGCTTCACCACGAGCATTCTTACTAACGCGCCTGGAGAAAAAGCCGGTGGTCAGAAGGCAGAGTGCAAATCCCTGTACACGGAGATGTTCTAAATACGCTGGACAGAGAAAGCTGAAAAAAATACAGGGGCTCTGACAGGGGAACAGGGAACAAAGAGCAAAGGTGGGCTTTTCCTCTTGTCATCAAAAGGAAGATTTGGGGGTCACTCTGGAATCCGCTCTCCCGACAGGGAATGGAAGCAGTCCACCCTCTCCACAACTTCTGCTCCGGGAGCGAGTTTCTGAGACTGACCGCTTCATGCAGAAGTGAATGGGTTTGAGTCCCTCTTGTGAGCATCTCTAGTTGGTGCTGAACATGCCTCTACCATTTATAATAACAAGAGAATAACCATTTTTTCTCTACAGATGCTACCGGCTAAATCACATCAGAACAAAGCAGTTCCCAAGGCTGTCCTCCCGAACATCTAGTTACAACCTTTATTTTTTAAAAACGACTCTTTCCCCTCCTGTAGGAAAACTCCCACTTGCTAACGCATACATGCAAAAGATAAGCTGGTCAGTTTTCTGGATAAGCTGAACTTTTCTCTTCGACTTAAGTTGGCCCTTCCTTGCTGAAGAGGTGACCTGTGTCCAAGTCAGCCTGGTCTATCGACTGACCAAACGAGGTTGCACTCTTACTTAACGCCAGTCATGGGCCAGATAATCAGACTCTCTCAAGACTCAGAACTCGGAAATACGGACGCAGCATTCATTTGGTGTAGGAAAGGACAGAATGAAAGGAGGGTACCTGAAAACCATGTGAAAATTCATCTTACAAATAAGAACCTCAGTTCCCACTGATGTGCTTGAAAGAAAGTTCCAGAGATAACAGACTGTGTGGCCCCAGCTAGAAAAAGTGAAAGCAAGAAAGTATCTGACCTGGTTCCTATAATTATTTTCCAAGTTCCTAAGCCATCTTCAGGGGTTTACTTAGAGTAACAATAATAACTTTCAAAGCTATTAATTGCCAAGGGCTTACCCTGTGTCAAGAAACCATTCTAAACACTTTATTTGTATTAACACATTTAAACTTCACAACGAGCTTATGAGGTAGCTACTAGTACTAATTCCATTTTACAGATGAGGAAACTGAGGCACAGAGAGCTTAAGTAAGCACAACCAGTAAGCCGGATATGAACCCAAACAATCTGGTTCCAAAACCCATATACTCTCAGCTATCCCACAACTCCTCTTCTGACATAGTACTTGGCCTGGGTGAGCTTCTTCGGTACTCATTTAAGTTTAAGTGTCTTGTTGCTTCAAGTCAAATGAGCTCTGAGCTGGGATCAGGCACATGGTTCTGAAATCCAGCAATGAGAGCGTGGAGTGGACACCAGTGGTGTCTGCCTGTCCAGCTCTTTCACCCTTCTTTTGGTAACGGCCTCTGAATTTTCTTTGCAGAACCTCTCCCTCCCGCTCTCGGTACATGTGCTGTGCTAACGCTAGCTCATCACTGCTCTAGGATCTCCCTGAACAGAAACTGGTCTAGGGATGTGCGTATGGCCAAGCTGGGAGTCATCCTCAGGCTCTTGCTGGTGCTACTGAAAAAGAGGTCATGGGTTCCTCTCTGGGATCCTGGGTCTTGAGAACTCTGTAGGCTTGGAATTGCCTGGGGGCTTTGGCTTAGCCACCATGCAGAGAGCCTGTGCTTGAGAATCAAACCATTACCAAAAAAAAAAAAAAAAAAAAAAAAAAAGAAAGAAAGAAAGAAAGAAAGGAAAAAGCAAGCAAAGAAACAAGAGTACCCGGATGACCTTGTTGGACATATGGATCCACCTGTACCTAAAGCCAATCATACATTTCCTTCCAAGTATTTAAGCTAATAAAATATTTTTCTTTTTATTAACTTGAGTTAGGTTTTTTTCCACAAGTGAAAGAGTCCTAATACATAAAATTGTCATATTTAGTGTGAAAACGACTTCTGTATTTATGGTAGGCAACAATGTCCACCCCCACTCCCACCCCAAAGATGTCCATTCCTGATCCCTGGAACCTGTGAATCTATGACCCTACATGGCAAAGGGAACTAAGGATGCTGATGATGGAGTTCAGGAGCTCATCATGCTGACCTTAAAATGGGGGAGATTATCCTGGATCATCATGGGGGTAATCACATGGGTCGCCCAAAGCAGAGGAGAAAGGCAGAAGAGAGGAACAAAGTGATGTAACGTAAGGACTCAACCTGCTGTTGCTGGCTTCGCATGTGAAGGAGGAGGAACACAAGCCCAGGGATGTGGGCAGCCTCCAGAAACTGGAAAAGTTAAGGAAAGAAAAGGAATTCTCCCACAGAGCCCCCAGAAAAACAAACAAACGAAAACAAAAAACAAAACAGAGCCCTGCTGACATCCAGAGTTTAGCCAGACTTCTGACCGACCGATTGGAATATCCTAAATAGGTGTTACAAGTCACTAAACCTGCAGTGATTTGTTACAGCAGCCAAGAGGACACTGATACAGTGGCTAAAATGTCTGGGCCGTCTCTACCCTCCAGGAGCTGTACGCGGCACTGGGTCTTACCTAGCGCACCACCTAGCGCCTGTGCAGCCAATCAGCACAGCTCTTCTCAGCCACGCTCCCCTGCTCAGCTAGACGCTGTGCTTTCGGTTTCCTCGGAGGAAAAGGCAGCACTTGCTTTCTTATTCCAGGCTGCCAGGGAGGCACAGACATCGCAGGTCTGAGGGTAACGCGAGGTAGACCCTCTTAGGGTTCAATGAGCCAATCTTGCGTCCGTTTACCTTCTAGGACTTCCTACCTTAAGGTTCTTAAACATTTTCATTAGAGTCTGAAACAGACCTTTCCCAGTTTGGGATGCCCACCCTTCCCATTCATTTTACAGTGACCCCTTTCCATGATTTGTCTTAAAAGTAAAAAGAAAAAAAAATGGCAAGTTCAAAACCCAGTGAAAACTCAGTGAGCATTTTGGCATGAGAAAGAGAAAAATAAGCAAAAACATCTGTTTTCCTAGATTTTGAAAACAAGCTTCTGGGCCTATGGTTCCTGTCTGAATGGCAAATAAAGAAGGCTTGAAAGCGTCCCAAGCACACCCAAGTAGCTGGTACAATGAGGAGCTCTGATTTCACTGTCAGAGTCTGTCTGAGGGCAGTCAGCCTCTGGACTCCCAGGTCATCCCAGGGGATTCCAGAGTCATAGGAATAAGACTTCAATTTTCAGTCTTTCTAATTTTCTCTCGCAGAGGCTTCTCGGGAAACCCACAACCCTATTCCCCTAGGAAGTGCTCAGTTTTATAAGTGCTTTGCAAGAGTAAGACAAGCCCATTGTCTTTGGATACCCCAAATTTTATTTGGTTAATGTTAAACTTGTGACAAAATCCAGGAGTTTCCAAGTTAAGGGTAAACTTTAAAAATATCTGGCTTTCATTTTGACTCAAGCCTATATGGACATGTATGAAGTGAGACAGAATTTAAATTATAAGAAAAGGAACATTTATCCAGTCCCTGATATGCTTTACACAGAGGTTTTAACATAGACTATTAAACTTAATTACTCAAAACAATCCATGAATTAACAATCTGTGAGTACTGCCAGCTCTATTTTTAGATAAAAAGGCTGAAGATCAGTGATATCAAGTAACTTGTCAATATTCCTAGGATTGGTTAAGTAGCGAGCCCAGATTCAAGATTCAGATCTGCCGGCTCCAAAACCAGCTCTGGACTAGAAAGTTTCAGTTCCCCTGCACAAGTCTGAACTGAAATTTTCTAGTCCAATTGTGGTTTTGGCTTTCACACCTGTAAAGTAAAAACAGGGTCGCTCCATACAGTCGCTTAGGCTGTGCACTGCTCAACTTCAGGGGGTGCTGTGGTATTGTGTGATCGAAGTGGCTCTTAGCAAAAATGGAATGTGACTTCAATGATGTTATTATGGCTTTTATAGGATATTTTCTGTTCCTTTAGATCCTCCAAATAAGGCCTTTTCCACAAGACAACGCCAGCGAATCGGGAAAGCAGCCCAGTGATGTGTGCCAGAATTAACCCAGCATGGCTTTAATAAACAGGGGCACACAGAAGAGACCTATGTGTTCTGGCATCCATTTATAAACTCACGTGAACCTCTGATGAGAGGGATGGTCAGTGGGCCACTTTCCTCATCTGAAAAATGAATGAGTCCATGGATTTGACTACTGGTGATTTCAGGACTGCTTGTAGATTGCAGAAATCTCATGCAGGAGCCCCACACCCAAAGCAGGTACATGCAGGGGTGCTCTTGCTGGAGGGCTAGGAAGAAGGAGCTCTGAACCTGCTCACTCCCTGAGCTCCCTCCTCCTTTCTGACCTCTGCTTCCAAGCAAAGCCAGCAAAACACGGCACTTGATGGTCCTTCTGTGATCAAGAAATCCTAACATTCTCTAAGTCTGTGCAGACTATCCATGCTCTAAATAAATACTGTGACTCACTCACAATGAATTGCCGAAATTGCCTATAAGGGACCAAGTCCAGTGTGGAAGAAATAGCTGCACAGAGCAGAGACCAAATGTGTCAGTATCAATGAATAATGCTTTATCCAGTTGAGTTTCAACCTGAAACATGAAACCCCAGCAGTGAGCCCATCAG